GTCACATTCTCTAATGCTCTTAAGAACTTCTTGCCTTGGGTACCATTCTCCAAAATTCCAGGAAATTTTTCGCGTAATTGATTGTTTTTTAATAACGCGTCCCATTGATGCAGTCTATAAATAACGTAATAGATGAAAAGAAATGTATGAATTAGTAAAATTGTTACATGTGAATATATTAATAAGTTGAAATTGAAAGTAAGAAACATATATAATTTAACTTACAACTACTTCAACGGCAGTGATTTCTTCATTAAATTGAATTAAATCCTCCTCAGTTTGAATTGTAAAATTTTCCAATTGAAACAGCTGACTACATGACTACAGCTGATTACCCCTTGCTTTAGAATGACTGCATTCGCAGCACATTGGTCAATTAATCGTTCTTGACGCAGTAGCTTCTACATAATACAAAACAAAAATTACAATTATCATTTTAAATATATTTACTTAATTTTGCATATACTTACAGTGAGTTTATGTGAAATTACAAATTATATTTTATTTATATTTTTGTTTTTTATTTGATTTTAAAAATTAAAAACTGTTCACTGTTCGCACTTCACTAAAATCAAAAGCAGACTAAATGTATACAATGTAGGCAAAACAAGAAATTCTTAATACTCCTTTGCTTTTCTTCTTCATTCTTTTATTATTTCAACCCCGAAATTGCCTATGTCGAACACAAATGTCGAAAACAAAGAAAAATAAAAACGAAGAGCTATTACCTCCTCGCTTACTTTTTCAGCGCTGGCATAATGGTGCCGCTGGGTAAACACTGTGTGTGCTTTTTAATTGCAGCTTTCATTACAAAAACAAAACTGCAAACGCATTGCATATGGCATATGCCCGGTTCCGAAAAGTGTTGCCTTACTTTGGAATTGCTGGGCAATAAAGTCATTAACATAATAAGAAGTGCGTGAGACTGTGTAAATATTTAAGTGCCTTCGTTTTCTATCCATGAGATGGGAACAACCTTAAATACTAGTAATTTAAACGACAGACATAAACAACAACAACAATAATAATAATAACAACAACGTTGCAGTTAAGCTCACAATTTGCAGAAAGTGCGCCATTTTTGTTAATTTAATGTTTGAGCTAATAAAAGTTGCTTGACACTGCGACCTAAAAAGGTACTTTGAAAGCGCAGCTACCGATACTGCTTTGCCTTCCTCGCTGCTCCGTTTGATTTTGCTAGCTACATACGAAGCCAAAGAGGTATGTAGGCACAGTTGGCGCGTCACTTCTGCTATTGACGCCTATGAATGTGTTTGCAAATATTAACTTTACTGAGAAAATTAGGCATGAAATATTTACTTTAGAGCTGTAGGGTTGAAAATTCATTAAAGCACAGCAAGCAAACGACACAGACAAAGCGCAAAAATATTGCGACCCTGACGGCACTGCTCTCAGCAGGAGCGACAGCATCAACGGCAGCGTCAGCGTCAGCGTCAGCAATTGCATATTTCAGGAGTAGGAGTTTATTTAATTATTTAAATTCTAAATTTAAATTGGCACAAATGTTACAAAATGTTTAAGAAATTGCAAAGTATAGCCAAAATATGGCTCGAGTTGGCAAAATAAAAGGCAAAACTAAATAATTAAATAACAAAACATAAATTTTTATTTAGTCAACATTGCATAATTTGAGTAAATTAATCCGATTGGGTTCCAGCTCGGCTCCATGAAAAAGGACCAAAAAAAATTATTTGAAAGGATTAAATGTTTCATAGAAATGGCTTTTGGAAATAAATTGGATACAATTATAAGCACATGAGAACTTGTAGGAAATGTGTGTAAAATAAAATATCTGATTAAATTAAAAGTTCTCTACACAACACTGGCAGCTTGGAGTTTCTTAGGAGTTATTTATTATACTTTTTGTTGTACGAAATGAGTCATTATTATATGTTAAATTTTAATAAATTATGAAAAATCCAATCTCAAAAATTTTAAAGTAGAGTTAATTTTTTATAAAATAAAACTCAACTTAATATTATTAAAGTATTTAAATCAGACACTGAAAATGTTCTTATTAGTCACAGAACTTTTTTTATGCATTGTTGCTTCGTTTTTTCTTATGCTCCTTAACTTAAGTACCCTTAATCTCAACTCAAATGTATAGTAAACATTACATAATATTAAATAAAAATATATTTAACACAATTAACAATGGAACAATAACAGAATAAAAATTGGAGAGTAAAATCCATTCTTCGTTCACCTTCTATATAATTTAGGAATTGGGACCTAGCGACATTACAGCTTACGCGATTAGTTGGAAATTTGTCGTCTCTGCAATGGTGAGTTCATCTGTATTCCTAGGTAGTTCAAATATTAGGGATTGAATTGAGCTACAGGCCGTTAATGTCAATTTCTGATCCTATCTTGTCCATCTCGTCTATTAGTACGGATATTTATGTCCCAAAAACCAACATAGAGATACTTTGTAATGCTCAAAATTCATTAGTGAGACGCAACACTTATTACAATCCTCGATGTACTCGTTCTATATTCAATTGCATTCATAATTGCCTGACTATTTTAAGAGAGCAAGCAGCTTGCTTGCTTGTTCGATAGCATATATCTTTACTTAAAACATACTGCAGCAATCGGGAAGAAGGTATGACTATCTTATCCGGAAGTCATTCGAGTATATATTCGCTTTTTTATTTGCCTCCATTTTTCCGCAGTTCATGTAAATGCTAGCTTCATAAGTACTTGTTACAGATCCTGACTTTCTGGTATTTCTGGTTGAAAAAAGAGAAAAAAAATTTAGTTTCAAAGTCCAGGGTTGCTGTCATGTAATTTGCTGCTAATCCCAGATGTACTTTAACTAGACCACCACAGATATTATTAACTTCTTTAAAAAGTGTACCATGCTCATAATTAATCGATATCTACACCTTCCACTCAAGTCATCAGAGTAATGCATTTCTGGCGATTCTGCAATGATTGAACACTTGTATTAATAAGAGGTGAAGTATCCAATTTAAGACTTCTTGTGACGCATTATCTATGGCTTTTTAGATACCCATGCTATTAGTCTTTGAACTTTTCTAATGCGAGAGAGCGATTATGTCTTTTGTGGCAAACCATTCGTCAAGCCATTTTCCGACTTTCTTGAATTTGTTGAAGTGCTGCTCTGTGAACACGTGCCCCATTGATGCAAAGAGATAATAGTCAGATGGTGTTAGGTCGGCAGGTGCTGAAGGATGTCGCACCAAAGTGATTTTTACTGGTTTTGCTGCGTAAGACAGCGCAGTGTCTTAAAACAAAACTCACTTTGCCATGTCTTTTGGTGCATTCTGGTCGTCTTTCTATCAATGTGCGAAATGTACATTTTTTGGTGACTACGTTGTGCATTAACGGTTTCGAACGGCTTCAAGAGACACAAATCGTAGTTTTCTTACCGAAGCGATTTAGTGTTGAAGGACTGGCTCCGCCACCTGAAATCCACAATTCTTTCCGCTTAAGGCTGTTGTGTTTGAGTTGGCTTACCATCCATTAATTTCTGCTTGTCTTCGCACTTTTTTAGTTTTTATGTGGTCTACCTAATCTAGAGTGAACATTGTCTTTCACATAGAAGTTACTATCTTACTAATCGATAGAGCGTATTTACCATATATATGTTTCCAATAGCACACAATGAGTTTCAACTGCATTTCGCTTTGGATTAAATAAAAAGAGCAATGCGTTCTTCATCACGCTCAATATTCGACCTGATCACTGACCAATAAAACAAAGACGCATAATCGATCCACCTACTTGATCCAAAACGCAAACACATTCTACTTAATTAATCAAAGTCACCACCAGAGTTCTAACATATGCTACCCTTCCTTTCTTGTTAATTGTTAACGATAATTCACAATAACTCTTATAAATATAACAAACATCAATTTATAGTTTTTCAAATGACAGCAACTTTTATTTGTTGAAAAAACTGTGGCTGTCGCATTTCAAAAAATGTGAGAAAAATTTTGATGACGTTGGCTTTCAACCTTAAAATTAAGAACAGTTTTTCTGCTCAACTCTGCACGAATTAATTCGATTTAGAAAATCTAAGCACAAGCCCTCAAAATAAAATAAATTTTCAACTAAATTGTTTTTGGACTGGTGCTTAGCTGGACGTATTCAGGTAGCTGTATAATTGTCTATTCCAGCGCGTTGGCAGCAGTGACCGTGGCAATTGCACGATTACACACAATTTACGTTTGATTTGTGCTCTCTGTGCCACAACTCAATTCCAGTCATGATTGAACGGAGGAATGAACACACGAACGTGCGTACGAACGACGAAGCCTGAAATGCGACTTCATTTTGTATATAAGTTTTGCAGCCATTTTGTTTGTTTGCTTACTTGTTTGTGGTCTTATGATTATTTTGGTTTGTTTGTTGAATTTATTGTATTTGTGTATTTGCTTGAAATACAAGGGACTGTGGTCAAAGTGCAAAACTAAAAATTCTCAAAAATAAACTCAAATAACAAATAGAAAATAAAATATTTCCACTTTATTCCTGGAGGATGCAGAGAGTAAACTTTATTAATTTATCAAAAGGAAGATAAGGAAAAGGGAACGAAATAAAGATAGAACTGCTCAAAGGCTATTTACACCGATTTTATTTATTTATTCTATTATTTTACCAAAAGTCAAATAAATTTAATCGAAGAATTGATAGTTGCTTTCAAATGTTATAAAAATGTAATCACCCAGTATTTCTTTCAAATGAAATCATTAAGATTTCTTCGTAAGTAAAGAATGTGTAAATTATAAGTAAAGACTTAATAAATTAATTTTTCCAAAAATTTTTTAAAATATTTTTATATATTTTCCACATTTTAAACTTCTTTTATTAAATTTTTTAATAACTTTCAAACAACTGACTTCA